CGATTGTTCTGGATGGCTCAAAAAGAGGGAAGAATTTCTATCCACTTCGTTTTTAGGAGACTTAGAAGTTTTCACACTGATTACATGGTCTTATACCGATCTAATCCAAAGTAGAGGAAAAGTAAAGATTTTTAGTTTCCATGCCTCCATTTCATGTGTCTCTTCATCATTTATGTTCGATGCCTCTGTCATCCATATTCCCCATAGAATTTAGTAGTTCAAGAACACATGTCGTGTCTGATGGCAAATTATGAGGCTGTGTCGTGTCTGATGGCAAAATATGAGGCTGCTTTCTTTCGACCTATTTTGTAATGTCTTTAAATGTTTCTGGTCGAGTTCAACTAGGCAATACGGGGTGGATTATTATACCTTCAATTTTAAGATAAGTAGTAGGTGTTTAGCTTATCCATTTAGAGATGGTTGAATTTTGTATTTTGAATTCTAATGTTTTTTTTTTTTTTGGTTGGGTCTACTCCTATTGTAATTCATGATTTTGACTTATTATATTAGTCCTTCATGTTTCAATCCATGAAATTAGTTTTGGCATACGGAAGATCCTTGGGGCTATACAGTTGAATAGACGGGACAAGTAGAAACTCCTTGTATAAATACAATTGGTTCCTAAGCAAGATCAACAACATTTAGACATTAAACTGAAAAATTTGATGCTTAGTGATCAAATTTGTACAAAACATTAGAACAATTTGATGCTTGCCAGGTCAAGTTCAGTTCAAGAGTCCTTGAATATTCCTAAACGACAACTAGGAGGCTTCTACAAAGTTAGAACGTCGATTGTAGAACTCAACAATCAAGTTTGGAATGTTTTAACCTTATATATGCATCGTAGAATAAACAAAAGAGTTTAAAACAATAGATTTGAACCCCATCGAGTTCAAAACAATAGATTTGAACCCCATAGTCGATAGATAAACTAATATACGGCTACTTGAATTGTGAGCCATGAACCACAACAATGTAGAAGTCCAAAATCGATGAAGACTCACTAGATTCACAAAGAGAGCTTGGGGTAGAAGGAGGAGAAGGAACCAAATCCTAGCAAACTTTGGGTGTTCTCTATCTCCCTCCATCTCGTTATCAAATCGTAAGAATGACATTTTATTTTATTTTTTCTAAGTTATAGAGACCAAATTTTTTAATTTAACCTGACTAAGAAACATTTAATACTAAATACAATCAATTTATCTCAACGATAAATATAACTGAAAAAAGTTAAAAGATATTGATAAAATGGAAGCTAACTCAAATCTAAATATTATTTAATTTGAATAATAAAAAAAGAATTTATTTTGTTTATAAAGTTATAAATACAATAATTTAATATATTAAGGCCTTTTTTTTTTTTTTTTTTTTCTCTTTATAAAGTTATAAATACGTGTCACTGCAATCGTACCCACGCACGGGCATTTTGGTAAATTGAGTAAAAACCCTAAGCCCTTCTCTTATTTAAAGTGAAACCGACGCAATACCAATTCTCTTCCCCAAGGAGTTTCAGAGGCGGCAGCAAACTCACTCGGCCTTCTACAAAGGCGACCTTCCTTGTTTCGAAACCATGGTAAGGAGATGTTTCTATGAACCTTCTTCCTCCTAGTTTGCATTTGATATTTGTTAATCCGGGTTGATGAACTTCAATGCAGTTTTCTCTCTGTTCTCGTTTGATTTTTTTCGATCATTGCTGAATTGTAGCCTGTTGTATCGGTATTAGGTATGCTGTTATAAGTTCGTCTTGAATCTGCGTTTCTCATCTCGAGATCTGAAAATGCGCTTCTTATTTTGTTTTGGAGAAAATTTATTGGGCACTGACGTATGAGATTCATCGTTGGGTGGTTTATGTACATTTCGGCGTGTCTTTGTTTGTGGTTGGTATATCTCGTTGAGTTGAATCCGTTTAAGTTATATATTGTTTGTATGTTTCTGGTGCCTGCATATATTCTTGGGGCATTCATGTTTTTGTAAGCGATACCTTTTGTAAACTTTGAACTGCGAAATAATAACAACGAAGTACGTTTAGTTATGCAGTAATGCACTAGCTCTACATCCCAACTAGTGTACATGATCGTTTAGTTCTACATCCCAACTAGTTTACACCTCAACTAATTTTGTATTGTTGTTAACATGAATTTAAAGATTTTATGGCTCGAGATTTTATGCAAGATGTTTATCATAGTTACTCTGTTCCTTGCTCTTTGGTTTGGCTTCATGCTATCTGTATCTATGTGTCCTTTCATCTGTCTAGCATTTTGATGTTAGGACTTGGGAATATATAATTTTACCTCTGGAATTAATGGCTATTTCTACCACAGGCAAGGGGATTGAAGAAGCATTTGAAGAGGCTCAATGCTCCGAAGCATTGGATGCTTGACAAACTTGGTGGTGCATTTGTGAGTCAAAATTATAGTTCAAGCTCAGTTACATCTTGCTATTGTTCAACATGTTACCTATTTTTGACATTTATTGGATCTTTTTGTAGGCCCCCAAACCTTCCTCTGGACCTCATAAATCAAGGGAATGCCTCCCATTGATCCTTATTCTACGAAACCGATTGAAGTATGCTCTCACTTACCGTGAGGTGATTTCAATCTTAATGCAAAGACATGTTCTTGTTGATGGGAAAGTGAGAACTGATAAGACATACCCAGCTGGGTTTATGGGTAGGCTGCTTATTTTTATCTTCTTAATTTAATTCTTATCTTAATAATTGAATGAAAGTGCCATTCTTTGTTGCATAATTTTAGGCATTACTTGTCTTGACAAACTTAAACAAGTCATCACCAATCTGTTGATGAATGAGACTAGGGATGATGTATTTATTAACGGAGATCATGTTTGAAGTGAATGGGGCAAGTAGCCATGAACTGCGGTCTGGTTCAGGAATTCTTTCATTTCCTAGCTTGACCACATTGTGTAATGTTTTAGCCTTATTGTTAGTTTCATCTCGTGAATTACAAAAAATTGTTACATTTTTTATGAAATTGATTCTTTAAACTATTAAATAGTTGGTACCTAACTGTTTTTACTATAGATATTAGAATGTGGATGTGAATAACAATATGTCTACATAACATGCGGTGTGCATTCTAATTTTGTGTTGCCAATTCTGAAGAAGATAGTCTGTAATATATTGATCTGATTATACGATCCGTTGGTGTGATTGTGTTGCCATTCTAATTTTTTATCTTGGTGTGTAATGTTTGTTTTATATGAATGTTATTCTGTCCATGCTAAAGTTGAATTTTCTTTTTTTCCTTGTGATGCCTTCTTGGTAGATGTTGTATCAATTCCCAAAACAAATGAGAATTTCCGGCTCCTCTATGACACCAAAGGTCGATTCCGTCTTCACTCTGTGAGGGATGAGGAGGCCAAGGTTAGTTACTTATTTATTTGATATCAAACTTTATCTTCTATTTTCTTGTTTCTTAAACATGACTTCCGGGGATCATATAACAAGTAAATCACATCATGTGTGGCTGTCACAAATCTGTGAATAAGCTTACTTCTCCGCTTGGATTGTCATTTCCTGTAAAAAAAAAAAAAAAAGCATTCCGTCTTTTCCTGCTTACCTGTTCTAGGTAGTTGCATTTTTCCTTTAAATCATATGAGGTTATACGAAGGAAAATGGTATCCTCTTCGGCGACTTACAGACATTGTCATTGGTCTATGAAAATTTTGGATTGTTCACATTGATTTTTATGTTTCTTTATGCAGTACAAACTCTGCAAAGTCCGTTCTGTGCAGTTCGGGCAGAAGGGCATTCCATATCTTAACACATATGATGGCCGTACCATTCGGTACCCTGATCCTCTCATCAAGGCCAATGACACCATCAAGCTCGACCTTGAGACCAACAAGATCGCTGATTTCATCAAGTTTGATGTGGGTAATGTTGTGATGGTTACTGGTGGAAGGAATCGTGGAAGAGTTGGAGTAATTAAGAACAGGGAGAAGCATAAGGGAAGTTTTGAGACCATCCACGTCCAGGATGCCACTGGCCACGAATTTGCCACTCGTCTTTGCAATGTCTTTACCATCGGTAAGGGTACTAAGCCATGGTTATCCCTACCTAAGGGCAAGGGTATTAAGTTATCCATCATTGAAGAGGCTAGGAAGAGGCTTGCAAGCCAGGCGGCAGTTACAGCTTAGGAGTCTTAATGAAAAGGTTGGAAGAAGACGTTGTTTATGATTATTGATTTTAGATTGTTCTGACAAGTCTGTTCTTTGAATTTGTGTTTCAAATTTTGTTTTAGTAAGTTTTTCCCAACCGATGTTTCGTTATTTTCATTTTAATTATAGCGTGGCTGCTACAATTAGTCATTCTAAAAGTTTCATGTTAATGTTTGCAATCTAAATGAGAGTTTAAAAATTAAGTCAATTGTCAAAATGTCAATGTAGGAACATTTGTCATGCTCTATTTTGATACGGGTATTTAAATGATAGGAAGTTTTCTTGGTTGTTCAAAGTTATTTATGCGTTGTGTTTTCTGTTTAAACGAATGAGTATGAAATATGGTTTTGTTACCATAAGATGGGACAATGATACAAAAATCTTTCGTTTAGGAACATTAACGTATCATCTTACATTTGATTATTGATGTGTTGTAATTAAGTACGATTATCAACAAAGTTTAAGAGAATGCTTTAATGTAGGGAAAGGAAATGCTTATTCTTTTTTCAAATTTCAGTTTTCTTGGATTGGTTACGAAATAGAAGAAGAAATTCTTGGTTCTTTGTTCCAAAGTAAGTAAAAGCTTAAAAACAGAAAAAGTCCAAAGGTCAATTTTTCTGACTCCCATAAATGGATATATTAACTAAAAATAATAATAATAACAGCACATTACTTTTATGAAAATATGATGAGATAATATTTAAAAAATTATAACTATTAAAAATATCAAACATTGATATACTCTAAGGTAATAAGATTTTTTTTCCATAATTCACGTTCCTATGTTCTTATTTATAATACCTATATGTAAAACAAGATTCTATCGTTGTAATATGTGCTTCATTAGAAACAAAATGTAATTATTTATATCATTTATGTTCATCAGCACATCCAAGATATCTATCTATGCAAACATAACTATCTCCCTAAGATTTAACAGTAAAAATTTACAGACCGAATGAGACGTCAATCTCAACCAATAACCTGCTCCTTTATCTCATCAATCTTGGCAGCCAATTCGTCTCTACTTTCCTGAGAGGTTGCAACAAAAAAAAATTATTAGCTCATTTATCACAACAAAAAAAAAAAAAAAAAAAAAAAAAAAAAAAAATACAGGATTTCAGTTCAGAAGGCAATTACCTTGAATAACAGAAAGCGAGCCGCGAACCACAGTGTGTAACCAAGCCCCACAATTTCCAACAACTTGGGAACCTATAGATTTACAAGAACGCACGGTTCTAAATTTGCCTTAAGAAACTTAATCAATTGATGACATCCTACAATTTACTCATACAGTTCTAATCCAATACAAAATCTTACAGATATAAAAGTGAGAACTACTCACCAATGGGATGGAATCAACAGCACCAACAACGGCTGAAACCAACCAGAGGCCAAAAGAGGCACCACCACCATACAGGGCAAGACTGTATTTATCAACCGACTCGAGCTGTGAGCAAAAGTAACCATCAAACCTTTCATAGGATGAAGCAATCTCAAACCGAAAAATGAAAACATATACATTATAGTATCAGTTATTCCAAAATGGTGTTTCCTAATTGACAAGAGCTATAAAAGTTCAAACTTCAATAAGAAATACTGATTTCCATCTCGAAATAGCAAATTTCCTATTATGACTGAAGACACAGAAACTTTGATGGACAACAAAATAATAAGAGAAGTTAGAGAAGAACAATTTTAAAAGAAACTTGAATACAAGCAAGAAACACAAAAAAAAAAAAAAAAAAAAAAAAAAAAAAAACAATTAGAGAAGTTAGGTTGCTCGATTAACCGCTCAGGTCGACATAATTGTCGACCTTTCATGTAGCATTTGTATATACTATCAAGTTTGATGATATCATCACTGCAACTAACTTCGAAAGGTCATACGAGAAATGAAAGAAATACGCATGCAGGGAAAAACCAAAACCCATTTTAAAAAAAAAAGAAGGCAACAGCACCATAAATTAAAATATTAAAAAAAAGAGGACTCCAAATTCTCAATAGTTAACACAGACAAAAATCGTCCAAGTTACCCAAGGAAGGTATTTTACGGTGGAATCAAGCCATAATCCAGACTATGGGAAGATATTGAAAGCAGAAATAGATAGATAAATCAAAGGGCAAGCAATCCAAAAAATTTGAAAAATGAAAAGCCAAGTGATCCAAAAAATTTGAAAAGGGTATCTCAGTAGCTTTGCACTCATTTGTTGAGATAAAAAAGAGATGGCAAAAGACAATTACTTACGGGTTAACACGATAAGCTTGCAAAAGAATAAATCACATGGCTTCAATAAAAGTTCTTACTTTCAGATCAATCAATGAATCAAGCGTCCATTCTTGCGCAACCTCAACTGGTTTTTCTTTAGGTTCTTCTTTGGGTTCTTCAGCTGTCGAAGTTTCATTGTACGCAACATTCTCAGCAGAAGAAGAATCTCCCACGGTAGCTGAAGATGCAGATAGAGAATCCTCCACCGCTACAACGGGCGCGTCCTCAACCGGTTCTTCTTTCGGCACTTCAGGTGTTACAATTTCGTCAGATGAAAGATTCTCCGCGGGAAGGTTCTCCTCGGCGACTGAAGAAGCAGGAGGAGAATCTTCCACGGCTACCGAAGAAGCAGGAGGAGAATCTTCCACGGCGACCGAAGAAGCAGGAGAAGAATCTTCCGAGACCGCCGCGCTGTCGCGTTCTTCAGTAATATATGGACTAGATCCATATGATTCCTCAGATGCTGCTGCTCTCGGCAGTGAAACAGAAAAATGACGATATCCTAAGAGAGAATTCAGAAAACAAAAAAGTTCAGAACCACGTACATCCAAAGGAAATCGCAAATCAGCTCATCGTTATACCATAAGAATCGACAAAGAACAACGCAAGCAAAGCAATCCAAAATAAAAACCACAAACAAAACGCACATAAATTCAACAGAAAAAGTACAGAACACCACAATGAAAACCTAGGGATTCATTTTAGATAGCAGAGTGAGAATGCAATGAACTGGAAACATACGGAAGTGGATGCCGCGAGCAAGACGCGAGGCTACGGGCATTTTGAGAGGAAGCGCGTGCTTGGGACGGAGGTGCTGGTTTCTGGCAAGAAGGGGAGAAGAAACGGGGAGGTCGGAAATGGGGCGGCATGCACAGAGTTCCATCGCCATAGCGGGAGAGGGGAGTCTGTGAAGAGGTGGGTGAAATCGAAGATGAAATGGGGTTGGTAGAGGAACGAGTGTTTCTTATACATTGGAAGAGGAGGGGAGGGCTCCCATGGGAGGATGAGAGCCATATATAGCTCATCACTTGGCTGGTGTAAGGCGTTGAAGAGCTAGGGTTTTACGTTAAGACAAAGATTTAATTAAAAAAAAAAAAAAAAAACCCAAATATAGTCCCAACGTTTCTTTAGTGACATTTTACATCAAATTCAATTACAAAATTTTCAACCATACTCCAATGTTTATTTAGTGCAAATTTGACTCATTGTTCTTTGTTAAGTATCATCGAGTGGGGTTTTCTTTTATTATTTTATTTATAAATTTCATCTGTTCTAAAATTCACATATATATTACTCAAGTTGGCAGACAAGTATAAATTTGATATTCTATGTTAAATTATAAACTAAAAAGAAAGATGTCCTAACTTCTCTATTACAATTAGATTACAAAGGGCTACTTATTACTATATTACGTTAGCAAAAAAAAATTATTTTAAACTATTATATTATTATTCACTGCAATAATAGCAACATTTAAAAATGGTGTAAGATTCATAAAATAAGTCAGTATATCATTTAATGACAAATAAGTAATGGAGTACACATAATTTAAAATTTTACAATTTATTCCTCTATACACTCTCATAATTGGATAAAGAAATGCAAGTCTTTAACATCCCACCTTAGAACAAAAATCGTCCTTGAATTTTGTTAGAGTATTTTCTAAAAATAGTTGATATTAAACCAAAAAAAAAAATAATAATAATAAATCATGTCACATGATTCTCATATTCTAGTTGCACAGTTGGTTTTACTTAACAAGGGTGTTTTGTTTGCATAAGGCAGTTAAAAAAAAATTAAAATATATAAAATAATATGTAAAGTATGTTGAAAAGTATGTTGGAAAAGTGAGATTAAATTACAAAAATATTAAAATTTAATTCCTCTAATTTTAAATGTTATAATTAGCCCTGAACATCAACGTAAATAATCTATCAAATTACTTGACTAACGGAAACTAAACCATACTAGCCAGATAAAGCCCACAACTTCACCCGTCTCTATCTCCTCCATGTGTCTGTGGTTTGCTTTGTTCTGTGTGGTAGGCTAGGGATGAGTGGGAGCCTTTGTTTGTCTGGACGTGGTGGCGGTGTTGTTTGCTGCGTGCTAGACAGAGAGGAGAGGGCTAGGGATGGGTACAAAGTTTTGGGCAGAGATATCCCAGAAGCATCATAATGGATATTCCATTATGTGTTCGGCAGTGAGCATTACAGAAGAACAGTAGATAAATTATAACCAAAAAAAAAACACAATGATCAAACACCACAGACACCAAATAAACTAATTCTCTGTAACAAACAATGATAATGATTCTACACAATCAAAATAAACTAAGATAATCATGGACGTAACGGCCCTTGCCTAGGAAATGTTTTGTATTAAATATATCAGCCCTCTTCATAATTTGCATTTTCTGCAAGAATAATTAAATGACCAATGTTTCTGAGATACAAGTAACAAATACTATGCAGCAATGCTGCGAGAATTTAGTTCTTTTCTCCTCCGTGTTTCCTTTATTATCAATGAATCTTCTCAACTACTAATTCTCTATACACTTTAACAGTTTCTCACAGTGTTATTTATTCTACCAAAGGCATTGGCCTAAATTAACAAAAGTAAACAGAAAAAACCTGAAGCTAGCTGCGTGCTCCCTCCTCATTTCTCTGGAACCCTTTGTTCCTTCAGTCTCTTGCATAAATTAAATGAAAATGATTAGATAAAATCTGGTTGACCTGTCGAAGTTAGACATCGGTGCCACATTCGGCTATTCGGGTCCAATATTCTGGGATGCGAAATCACTTCAGGGATGGGAAGATAGACGTAATGCGTGTTACAGATTCCTACTGTGATGCCACTGTATCCAGCAAATGCACCGTGGACCTGTAACAAATCCAATAGTACCCATCCAAGGAAGAATTAGAGCAAGAAACTCCTGATATAGATGGACTGTGGATGATAGGGAAAGAAAAAATAATGAAAGGTCAAAAGGAAAGTCAGACAGAGCAAAAGTGGTGAACACACGAAAAAGAATTACAAGAACCCAGATCAGAAACAAGGGTAATGAAAAAAGTTCTGAAATGTGAGTAAGGCACTAAAATGGGTACCACACCTTCCACGACCTTTCAAAATCCATTGGAAGTATTTTAACCATTTCTAATTAAATAAACCATAAAACAGGCAAAAACCAGCTTGCCACAAGACTTGGAAGACTAGAGAAACTATATTACTCTCCAGCGATCAGTAATGTGTGTGTGTGTCTGAGGGAGTGAGTGATAAAGTAAGGATAAGGCTAGTTTTAAGATTTTTTTCAACAATATCCCTATCATTAAGAAAGTAGTCCTAATTAGTTAAAGGCAGGAAAATCTTGTGTAAAAGAAAATACGCAAAATGGAATGAGTCAACGGCAACAGTTAATATTAGAATTGGAGCTACCGTTCATCGTAAGACCTAACAAATAACAACAACAAAGTGCTACAACAGATAATAATGTATGTATGTCATTTTCGTTCATGGATTTGATTTCTATGCTTCGTAATACCTCTTTTATTTCCATTAATTTTATGTTGTATACAGTATATCCCTTTTTCATAATTAGTATTGTTCCAGTCTCAGCGAAAAGAAAAGGAAAAAAAAGAGGGGAAAAGCTTTGATGAGATAACAACCACCATCGATGGGAAACATGGAAGTTATTAATGTTGTCCTCGGAAGGGCGAGAAAGGGGACTTACTGCATTCTGCCCCAATACAGTGCACAAGATCCCATCAGAAGCATTTGCACGACATGCACGAATCATATATGTCGGATCAATATACTTCACATCAACTGGAGTACTAAGCTCCTTGAAGTATTTCTTCATCTGCAAGAAGGGGGCAAAAAAATGATAAAATATGTTAAGCACCAGCAGAATAATCCAGATTCAGTTTCCACCTAAGGCATATCAAATGAAAAGAAAGTGGCTTTCCTCATCATTTAGAATATTCCACCTAGTTAACACAAAATTTAAAGCCATATTGTATGGTTTAATGCTATAGTCGCAACTTTAAGGAAGATCTGGTTGGAGAGGAATCAGAGGGTCTTCAAAGCACGAAACTAGGAATTCTATTGAACTCTTTGCATCCATCAGGTGTTCTCTCTCTAAATCTTTTTGTAATTACGATCTTGGGAATATTTCAATTTTCAGCTAATTGGGGATCTTTTTTTGTAACCTTTTGGCCGTTGTTGGGATATCTCCCTTTTTTCTATATTTTCTCTATGGGCGAAAGATTTTTCATTTCTTAAAAAAGATAATTAAAGCCAAAAATGCCGTACTGCTCGCAAGTATTATGTACTAACGTAAGAAGCACATCTTAGATTCTCTCAAAATAGCACGATGATTAATCTCAATGGAAGTAAATTTACAAACCTCTTGTTGAATATATACGCCAATATCACTCAGTACAATGTTCCCAGATGCATCGGTAGCATTTGTCTTTTGTAGCAAATTCTGCAGTTAAAGCCGAGAATCAGTACTCAATTCTAATAATTTCAGATAAAAAAGAGTCAAGAGGTAATTATAAAATTCATAAAGCTTATGCAGTCTATGAAGGGTAAAAATAGCAACACCAACTTACCTGCCCTGCTCCCTCAGCCACGCAGACCACAGCAGATCCCTTTGTCTCTATCAGATATTTCAGATGGCGTAGAACGCCATGGGGCCCATGTAGTTGGAAAGGAACCTAAGTACCATATGATGATATCAGTGCAGCATCAAGAAAATAGAAACTAAAAGTCAAACTCATATTTGACATACCTCAGGGACCAAGCATACATCAATCTGCCCACTGGCAAGTGCTGCATGCATCGCTATAAATCCACTGCTGCGACCCATCAATTTCACAACGCCAACTCCATGATAAGCACTGTGTGCCTATACCAAATTATTAACATTATGCCATTGATCATCGTATGACAACTTCCCGAATGGGGAAGGAAAATAGCTCTATAATACTATGAAAAGAGAGAGAATTCAAGGAAGGACCAACACGCACATGAACACAGCAACAAGGATACAACAATAGAAAGCAATGGACGTTACCTCAATGTAGGCAGAGTTTATTGCTCTTTGTGCTTCTTCAACAGCAGTATCGAAACCAAATGTCTTATCCATCAATAAAATATCATTGTCTATAGTTTTTGGAACACCGACCACTGCCACCTTTAACCGTCTTTTCCGACACTAAACCAAAAAACATGAAATGTTTAACAAAGTCAGAAATGGTGTCAAATTCTCTAATGAAAAGCAGAGTTGTTTTTTAATTATCGAAGACTGAGTAAGAGAAATTTATATAATAATAAAAAGCATCAAACTCTTGCTAATTGCAAACACACAGTTTACAAAAGTGGAGTGAAGGCTGAAGAAAGATTCAAGTGATTCTAATCAAATTCATGCATGTTTGGAATTAGTTTTGTAACATCTACAAAACCTATAACGTTCATGTACTTGAAGAGTGAAAGATTCTAATATACCACACGCTTGTCAGTTGTGAGGTGAACTTGGAGTATGAGTGGTAAACTCAATTTTCCAATGAACTGTTTAGCATGATGTATAATGCAAAACATAGATCATTAAACTTTACAATAAACCTTTAAAAGAAGATAATATTAGAACAATAATAAAATTCACAGATGTGTGCACCACTGTTGAGATATATTATTTATGGAATATATCCTAGATATTATATCTTAATATTCTTCCATTTATGGTTAGATTTATAGTATATTTTATTTTATTCTAGTATTTAATTATTTTATATTTTCCTCATTTGTACTGGCTTGTATCCTATTTAAAGGATATCAATATCAATGATAATACACACCTTCCCAATTCTATTTTCTATCTCATTCTTAACATGGTATCAGAGCACCGATCTTGATATTCTAATATCAAAGCACCGATCGTGGTATTCCTAATACCCCTTGGACTCTGAGTCCAAGGGGAGTATTAAACCTAAAGCCAAACCCTAACCAATCAGTGAAGTCTT